AGTCCAAATCCTTTGATGGGAACAAGGAACAAGGCTGAAGCATACAGCACTGAAGGGTGTGCAATTCAAAACTTGTACAACCACATGCAGTGGCCCTGAATAAGGGACTTCACTCTAAAAGTAAACATAGTTCTGTCACTTATTAATCATCTTTCATGTACCCAGCATAATTGTGAGGTCCTTTTTTATTTTTACTTATTTTATTTTTAATTGAATTTATTTGGGTTATATTGGTAAATAAAATTATATAGGATTCAGGTATACAATTCTATAATACATCACCTGCATATTGTATTGTGTATTCACTACCCCAAGTCATGTCTCCTTCCATCATCATTTATTCCCCCTTGACCTTCTACCACAACCTGCCTCTTCCTCCCTGGTAATCACCTTACTGTTTTCTGTGTCTATGAGGTTTTATTTTTTTGCTTAATCCTTTCATTTTTTACCCAGCCCCCCAACCCCCTCTCCCAACTGAGAACTATTAGTCTGTTCTCTGTTGCTAGGCCCTTTTTATATAGTTAATTCTCAGAACAGCTTTGTAAGATAGACATTACATTGAAACTGAGGTAAATTAAATACTCTTGCTCAAGGTTGTACAGCTTTTGGGTTATAGAGCCAGATTTTAAAATATTACTGGAATTTAGACCCAAGTCTTTCTGACAATGTGTACTTTCTGTTCTACTCTATTGTTTTTCCTGTGCCCTGGCTAGGGAAGAAGAAAGAGTAGTAAATTTGATTACTGTCATGAAGCAGGGTTCTTCTCACCATAGCTGAGGGACAATGGCCCAAATGAGGCTTTTGGAGGTGATGCTGTCACTGCCTGCATTTTATCAGATGGAGACTGCAGATGAAAATGGGGAAGGGAGAGAAAAGCAGGGATAGAAGGTAGGACTGTGCGTGGTAAGAGATAGAAGACAGGCTGTATAGACTGAAAACCAACCTAACTAGAACAAATAACTCTGTCTTCAAACCTCTTCTGCTAAACCACAACACTCATACATCCTTTTTACCCTGGCCCTTTGTTTCCATAGTATGGTTTCTTTTTTTCTTTTTTTTTTATTTATTTACTTTTTAAATACATTTGTCTCTGCCTCCCCCCCACCTCTTTCCCTTGCCCCCTCCCACCTTCCCTCCCTCAGCTCTTCCCCTTTGGTTTTGTCCATGAGTCCTTGCTATATGTTCCTTGACTTTCCCCTTCCCTTCCCTTTCCCTGCCCCCCCTTCTCTCTTGTCTCTGTTGATTTCTTTTCCTTTCAGTGTTGTTGGTCATATTTTCCTTGCATCTTTGCATTGTTGGTTAGAGTCATTTATATTAGAATCCCTTGGGCTAATTTTTAAAACGGATTCCTGGACCCCACCAGAGGTACTAAGTTCTAGTTTCTGGGGCTGAGGCCCATGAATTTGCTTTTTAAGCAGTTTCTCCAGGAAATTCTGATTAGGAGCCACTTCAGTTAGAAATGACTCTCCCAAAACAGTGGTTTCCAACCTTTTGGATTATACATCCTTCTCAGAAAGAATTTTTTTAAGTATGTACCTTCAGTATATGCTTGTAGTTTATTAATATTAATAAATTCCTTATATGTACTAATGTCTTAATACTTATGTTTTTAAATGCAAAAATACATTAGTATTCTTATATGAGAAGGGTCTCTAGTTTTTCTTTATGTTGTAGGTTTTGGTATTGACAGTGTGCAGGATTCTGTTTTTTTTATCCCTCTATTCTCTAGATTCCAGAGTCTAGGAAGCATAGATAGCACTGGAATTGTCTGTTCCTTGAAGGCTAGAATTAACATAAGACCATGTGAATGTGCTTTTTATTTTTGGTCAAATTTATCAATATTTTTCTGTGGTAATTGGTGGGTTTAGATATTCTCATTCTTCTAATTTTTTGCATTTAGCAGGTAGTCTGTCTTATTTAAATTTTAATTCAAAGAACTAGATTTTAGCTTTAATTTTTTGTTCTATCATTTGTTTTCTAGTGTATTGATTGGTACCATGAGTTTTCTTTATACTTTGCTTAGGTCTATTTTTGTGACTCTTTTCTTAACCTCTTTTGCTGAATGGCTAATTTGTTTATTTTAATTTGTTCTTCTACAATTTTTCCTTTTACCACTGCTTTAATCAACCATATCCTCTAGTTACTCATATTTACATTGTTATTATTTTCGAGGTATTCTACAGTTTCAGATCAGATATCCTCTTTGACTAGAGTGGAGAATAATTTTCCCTTTTATTTTCTATACTAGAAGTTGTTTTGTTTTTCTTTTTTGTTGTTAATTTTGAGTGTTACTGTATTATGATTAGATACTGTATTCTGTACTACTTCTACTTTTTAGATGAACATATAATCAATTTTTTAAATGTTCAATGGACCCTTAAAAAGAGTTTATTTTTAATGTATCAATAAATTTATATTTTTTCCATTGGTTAAAAAAAATTCTTATTCATTTATTTTTAGCGAGAAGAGAAGGGAGGGAGAAAGAAAGGGAGAGAAACATTAATGTGTGACAGAAACATAGAGCAGTTGCCTCTCACACACACCCCTACTGGGGACCAGCCTGCAACCCAGGCAGGTGGTCTGACCTGAAATCTAACCACTGACCTTTTGCTTTGTGAAACAATGTTCAACCAACTGAGCCATGCTGGTCAGGACTCGATCAGTTTTTGACTGTCAAATCTGTCATCAGTTGAAACAATCTCATATTTTGTTTCTGCTTTTTTTTTCTAACTTTGCATTTCCTATAGGTTTTGTTTTAGAAAATTTTTATTAATTTTTTCAGTTATAGCTGACATACAATATTATATTAGATTCAAGTGTACAATATAGTGATTAGACATTTATGTCACTTATGAAGTAAACACCCAGATAAGTCTAGTACCCACCTGGCACCATACCTAGTTATTAAAATGTTATTGACTATATTCCCTATGTTTTACTTTACATCCCCTTGACTTGCTTTAGAAATTTTGATGCTCTATTTTTTGGTACATAAAGATTCAGAGTAGTTAGATCTTCATCATCTGTTCTAATAATTAATATTCTAGTACCCTTCTTTGTCTTTATTGTTTTTGGTCTTTAATTCAACTTTTTAATGATATGAATATCATGGTCCTTGTGTTTTCCTCATTTTGGCAGTAATTCATTTATTAAACAAATACTTATTGAATGCCTACTGTGTGCCAGGTACTAGATACTAGAGGAATGAGACATGCAAGATCCCTGCCAGTATGAAGTTTTAGTTAGAGATTGGACCATAGAATAAACAAGTAAAAATAGGTATGTGACAGACTATCAGGTCGTGATGTATCCTCTGAGAAAGAACAAAATAGAAAAAGGAAAATTAAGAATGTCATCTCTATTTTAGATAAGGTGGTCAGGATAGTCCTCTCTGCCTACCACATTTTTTTTAATTACTTAATTTATTTTTTCAAATACATTTGTCTCTGCCTTCCCCCCACCAATTTTCCCTTGCCCCCCTCCCTCCCTCAACTCTTCCCCTTTGGTTTTGTCCATGAGACCTTGCTATATGTTCCTTGACTTTCCCCTTCCCTTCCTTTTCCCCTGCCCCCACTCCTTCCCTGTTGTCTCTGTTGGTTTATTTTCTTTTCAGTGTTGCTGGTCTTATTTTCCTTGCATCTTTGTATTGTTGGTTAGGTTCCACTTATAGGTGAGATCATATGGTATTTGTCTTTTGCCCCCTTTATTTGTTTGTTTCATGAGGGGAAAACGCCAGGTGGAACAGTTTGTACACAAGACATCGTTTTAATCTAATGAGCTTTAGGTGGGCCAAAGCCCAAATGAGAAGAGAGTGGGGAATGTGAAAATATGAATTTCTGATCCATGTGACTGATGAACTAGCCAGGGTGGGGACTGGAGATGAGGGGAGTGAAGGATATTTTGTTTTCCATTCTATCTGAGCTTGGCTACCATCATATATATTATTAAAGAAATATTCTCGGTCTTTATCATGACTATTCAATGAATAGTCTGTCTGATGATTTTATTGAACTGCTGGAATTTCCTGTTATTAGGCAGTACTTAGAATGATGCAGATTGCTTACAGGCTACAACAGAAAACCAGATCTTTTGGCTTAGAGGGCTTAATAGATGTCCTCTGACTTTGGTGACTCTTTATTATATAAAAGCTTGACTTTTTATACATATTTTAATAAATTTGGAAATAAACCTGGACTCCATTTCCTTGGGTATTTTCTTCTATTTATCTATAAGATGAGAATGTTATTTTTCCTCAGAAGTAATTTTAGGTTTCATAGTTTTTTCTTATAGGTATATTATATACACATATAACATGTATATTAAATTCATGATATAGCTTGCCTCTAGAGAAGCAACAGGGGAATGGAAGTGGGAAGTGAAACAAGGGTATTTTTTCTTATTTCTTAAAAAAATTTTATGAAGCATCAGTGAATGGCAAAGTATTAAGATGTGCTTATTGTGAGCAGTATGTGGGAGCATGAATATTTATTTTAGCAATCTCTGTATGTTTGTAAATATTTGAATGTTTTATAATTAAAAACAAAACAGATGAAACAAGATAGCCAGACTTGTAAGCCTAAGGATATAGCACATTCAATCTGAGTGCTACAGACAGACTGAGGTGGTGTGTATATTCAGATTTTGGAGATAGACTGTCCAGGTTCAAACCCTAGCTCTGCCACTTACTAGCTTTATGGCCCTGAGACAGTTACTTAACCTGCCCATGCCTCAGTTTCCCCAGCTGTCAGGACAACAATAATAGCAACTTCCTAGGGTTATTATGTCACTTATGACATATGTTAAATATGTTGACATTAAATATGTCTTAAATATGTTAAGGATTAAATATGTTAAGACATTATATATTAGTATTATTACATTCACTACATAGATTACATTGTTTTGTGGCCATTTTAAATTTTACATAAATGATGTCATCAAAAATATGGGATCATCAGTAACTTGCTTATTTTATACAATCCCCATCTGCTCTTTTGCAGGGAAATGGCTCATTCTAAGGCTGGCTTTTCATGGGCAACTCCCTTCCATCCTTGCCTTGAGAACCCAGCACTGGACTTGTCAAGCTATCGAGCAATCTCTTCTCTTGACCTCCTTGGAGATTTCAAGCACTCCTCGAAAAAAACAGAGGAAACTTCAGTTTATGAGGAGGGGAGCCCCATGGCTTCCATGCCCCACCCACTGCGTAGCCGTGCCTTCTCAGAGAGCCACATCAGCTTGGAGCCCCAGAGCTCCCAAGCCTGGGGGCAGCATAGGAGGGAGCTCTTTACCAAAGTTGATGAAACCCAGCTAGACCCTCTGGTAACCAGGAAGAAGGCCTTTCCTCCTCCTCGTCCTCCTCCTCCCAACTGGGAGAAATACAGGCTTTTCCGTGCAGCCCAGCAGCAGCAACAGCAACAAAAGCAGCAACAGGAGCAGCAAGAGGAGGAGGAAGAGGAGGAGGAGGAGGAAGAAGAGGAGGGAATAGAGGAGGAGGAAGAGGGAAGAGAGGAGGAGGAGCTGCCACCCCAGTATTTCAGTTCAGAAACCACTGGTTCCTGTGCTCTCAACACTGAGAAGGTCCTGGAGCAGCCACAACCCCTGGGCTTTGGTCACCTGGAAGTCTCAAGGCAGAGTGCGCAAAGTCTCCCAGCAGAGCAGGAGTCTTTTGCTCTCCATTCCAGTGATTTCCTGCCTCCAATAAGGGGCCACTTGGGATCCCAACCTGAGAAAGCTCAGCCACCTTGCTATTATGGCATTGGTGGGCTTTGGAGGACATCAGAGCAGGAGGCCACTAATCCCTCCAAGTAAGTGCTTATGAAAGACATTAAGTCCCTGAAGAGGCAGGCACCATGAGTATGAATTCAACCTCTACCATATACCAGTTGTGTGACCTTGGACTGTTCCTAGCCTCAATTTTCTCATTTGGGAAATAGGCATAATGATATCTATTCCATGTGATTGTTGTGAATATGAAGTTAATCTATGTAAAGGACATAGCCCCATGCTTAGCACAGAGTAGGTGCTCAGTAAACTGTAGTTGTTCATGTTCTTGTCCCTAAATACCACTATCAAAGTATATTTTTTATTTCCCAGTTTTTCTTTAAGATATGCATCAGTTTCTTGCCCCTGAACCCAATGGCCTTGTTGTCAGTACTAGGCTTTTCCTAGAAGCCTGATTCAGGCACTTTTTTTTCACCTTTTCTTATGCTTGTTCTTCAGAATAAGAAGCCAGGTCACAACCTGATCTGCCTTTGCTCTAGAACCTGCGTGGGCTTTTTTTTTTAATTTTTATTAGGATTTTTAAAAATTTATAAATCATGTTTATTCTATTACAGTTGTCTCAATTTTTCCCCTTTTATCCCCCTCCACCCATCCCACTCCCACAGTCAATTCCCACTCTTTTGTCCATGTCCATGGGTCATTCATACATGTTCTTTGTCTAGTCCCTTCCCCTTCTTTCCACCATTGTCCTCTTTCCCCATCCCCTCTGGTCACTTTCAGTCTGCTCCATGTTTCCGTGCCTGTGGTTTATTTTGTTCATTAGTTTATTTTGTTGAATAGATTCCACGTATAGGTGAGATCATATGGTATTTGTCTTTCACCAACTGGCTTATTTCACTTACCTTAATATTCTCCAGTTCCATCCATGTTGTCACAAAAGGTAGGAGTTCCATCTCTCTCTCTTTCTTTCTTAAATGCAGATTGATTTTATTTATTTTTTTAAATGTCAAACTTAATTATAAAATATTTTTAAAAATATAAAACCACTATAAACTCTCAGCAATAGTGTACTCTGAATAGTGTATTTCTAGTGACTGTTTCTTAAGCTGTCCATCTATCTGGGGAGCATTCTTATTGTAATTGGAATACATTTTGTGGAAAGTGACTATGATTGTTACCTGTCACAGCAGGGAGAAGGGAAGGTGACCTAATATATAATAAGTACTTAATACTCAGAAGAAAGACAATGAAATAAAGAACAAACTGACAGAAGCCAGAGAAGAAGGAGGAGGGGGATAACAGGGAAAGAAGGGGAAGGGCTGTCAAGGAACATCCACAACAGACCCATGGATGAGGACAATGTGGGGGATGATTGAGTGTGGGAGGTGGGGGTGGGTGGGGCCGGGGAAAGTGGTGGGGGAGAAATGGGGACAACTGTAGCTGAACAACACTAAAAAATATAAATTTTCAGAAAAAGGAGAAATAATAGATGAATGAATTAACATGAATTAAGCATTCACTCTATGCCAGACACTGCTAGTCATTTTATATCCATTATTTCATTTCATTCTCCCAACAGCCCTAAGGGCCATTATTATCCCCACTTGATAGATGAGAAAACTAAAGCTGAGCAAAATAAGGGACCAAATAAGTTAGAATTGTGCAGGAAAGGTTCAAAACCAGATCTGTCTGACTCCTAAATCCATGCTTATTTCACTATTTTAGTCTCAGAGAGATTTTGTCCTTATAGTAAGCCAGGCCTTTATGAGGCCCTTCTGTCTCCTATAGGGGAATATGTATGGGAAGTAGTAGTTATAGTACCTCTGTCAGTCTCCTGGTCCTTCTTCCTTTATGTGTCTCCATGTGCCTTGGCACCTTGGCCAGAGAAAAAGAAATTGCTATTACTACAAATCTTGTAACTTGTTCCAGAGATTTTTTTAAAAAAATGACTATGCAATGCAAGGGGAAGCATTTGTTTGCATACAACCCTGGCTTGTGGCTGCAAAAAGTCAATTATAGATGCTTCTTTGAGTGATGGCAATTTAAGGAACAGCATCAACCTCAACATAGCTAATATTTTTGCTTGCTTACCACGTATCAAGCATTGTTCTAAGCACTTTCATGTATTGATAGATTTAATCTTCACAACAAACCTATGAACTATATACCATTAGTCTCCTACATTTTTTAGATGAGAAAAATGAGGCACAGGTAGGCGAAGTAACTTACAGAATATCACACGTAGCCAGAACTCAGGCAGTCTGGTTCATTGTGCCCACTACATCATCCCAGGATTTCTAGACTCCTCAGGAAGAACCTATTACAGATCCTCAGATAACACAGGGTTCTAACCAGAAGGAAGTTGTGTTAAGATATTATAAGGGAGAATAGTGTTAGGGGCAAGTAGATATGTAATCCTTTTAATCTAAATTAACCCAGATTATCTCTGTAATCCACATACTATTCAGTTACAAAATTCTGGGGTACATTTAGAAGCAGGTTAGTGGAATTATCAAGTGTTAGTTAAGTCTAATAACACTGATTCAGGTGCTGGTATAGCTTGCTTTATGGACTCTATGCATTTCCTTTCAGTGCTCTGTAGAAGGAATCCGATTTTGTGTTCAATGTCCATTATCAAATTCAGATTGTGTTCTCAGATCTCCTGTAAACCCTTACTTATTAATGGAGATTATGGAGAAATGAACCCTAGAACATGGTGCCTAATACGATATCCTATAATATGATACAGAGCTCTGTTTGCTGGGGAACTGCATCTCTAATTAGCACATCCTTTTAAAATATATTTTTATTTTTCCAGTTTTATTGAGATATAATTGACATACAGCCACATTCTTTTTTTAAAAATTTTATTTATTGATTGATTTTTGAGATAGCAAGGGAGGAGGGAGGAGGCAGGGAAAGAAAGAGAAACATCTATATGTTGTTCCAGTTATTGATGAATTCATTGGTTGACTCCTGTATGTGCCCTGACTGGGGAAGGAACCTGCAACCTTAGCGTATGGGGATGCCACTCCGACAAAATGAGCTACCTGACCAGGGCTACGTCCTTTTTTTTTTTTAAATCTTTTTTTAAATTCAGTGCTTTTGGCACTTTCTGAGTCAGAATGGTCACATATGCCTTAAATAGTTTTCTTATAGATAGGAATTCCCTATCTTATACATTCATATACCCTCCAGAATGTTCTCTTTTCTCTGCTAACATAGATACAGTTCACTCAGAAAATTCCTTACATGCACAGTTTTATATGCTGTCAAGTTGTCCCTTTGGGAGTATAGCATAGTGGATAAAAGCACATATTTTGGAGTTAGATCACCTAGGTATAAATCATGGGTCTGACATTTACTATTTGGCAGCCTTGGGAAAGTTACTTTACCTCTCAAAGCTTTGTGTTCTTTATCTATAAAATGGTTGTCATGAACATTGAGTTTTATATCTGTATCTATACTGCCTCCCACACCACCACACACACAGCATAGGACAGCTTCTGGGACATACATAATAAACACTGTGTGGTGTTAGCTAATAGTGTTCTTTTATCAGTGTAATTAGCTTAAAAACCTACATATAAAATGAATACCTAGGATGAAGAATGTTCGTGTGCCAAAGTTTCTTTTGTGTGATGAATTATGAGACAGTGTAGCATGAATTGGTAAAATAGCTGTGGAACATTTCAACCATTATTTTTGACCTTTATCTAAGAGCTGCAAATAGCTGCAAAAATGACTAATGAGTTTCTCCTATTTTTCCTTTCAAACAGCTAGAGGTTAGCAAAGGGGCAGTGACACAGACAGGTGGGGGTGGCTGGTAGTCAACAATAATATAGAAGAGGTAGGCCTCCCCTTTGCATAAATTATGGGTGGAATTATTTGCCCCTCTATCCCTGAAGCCTGACATTGAAGCATTTTATTTTTATTTCCTTCCTAATGCCAGACCAGAAGCCTTGATGGCAGAAGACTCCAAACCCAAGCCAGCATGGAGCCAGAGCTACTTCTTTCCTGAAGAGCAGTTCTCTTTGATGTGCTGGAGCTCCAAGAAGCAGCACCTCAGTCCTGTGGGCTTCAGTGAACCAAAGACAACAGGGTCTGCTACTACATTTGTCAAGCCCCTTGGTGCCACTGGTTTCATTTTTTCCCTATTTTATTATGCAGCTATGGAGGAGGTTGGGTCCTTTGGGCATATGCCAGAAGTGAAGAGATGCTATTCCTTCTCAAGCTGAAGGCCTACTCCAAAGCAGGCAGTCTCAAAAGAGATCATGAGAGATGTGGGGGGCTGTGACAAGTACCTGGCAGGGTTGCTAACCCCAGCCTCTAACATGGTGACCACTTGTTAAGGTCATGGGTGACCTCTTTGCTGTGGCAGATCTGCAATGGAAGGGCCATTTCAAGCAGGAGTCCTACCGCCAGGAAAGAAGAAGTGATTAGGGTCCAGGAAAGCCACAGGGTGCTTTTGAAAGCAAGCAGACTAGATAGAGCAGGGGTGGGTGGGGTCCAGGATGGGTAGTTGGGAAGCCAACAGGCTTAAGAGGACAAATAGCTAAGGTGTCAGATACAACCCCACCACCTAGCTCCTCCCTTGGGATCAATGTATTGGGGCCATGAACCAAAGGGGATCATTGATGATAAACCCAGAACTTTAGGGAGCCTGTCAGTTTTTCTGGAATTTAGTGGGATGTCCATTACCAAACCAAATTATCTACAAAGAAGTCCCTGTAGCTGCAGAAGTCAGGGACAAGGAAACTGCCTTTTAAGTTGTTAATGCTGGCCTTGACTTGGCTTTTAGATAGCTTTTATGTGGTCTGTTCACATTTGAACAGTGCTTCCTGGTCCATCATTTCCTTATTTTACAACTCCTTGGTGAAGCAAGGTCCCATTGTATTACAAATAGGGAAGCTAAGAACAAGAAAGGTCAGCAGCCTCTCAACAGAGGTGTTCAAATGGTCATTCTTTGTTCCCGCAGACAAGAATTTCAGCACTTCTCACCTCCTCATGGGAGCCCAGGGATCCCTACCTCTTACTCGGCTTATTACAATATTTCTGTGGCCAAGGCAGAGCTGTTGAACAAGTTGAAAGACCAACCTGAAATAGCAGAGATTGGCCTAGGAGAGGAGGAAGTTGACCATGAACTGGCTCAAAAAAAGGTGAAAATTTTTTAAATACCTTAGATATTTTCCAGTGTTTAGCGTGAGTATGTCTAGAGGTTGCTCTGGCCTCTAGATTCTTTAGAACATCTTGGTACTTTCCTGTAGTTTCAATATGGCAATCAAAAAGCCTCTCTGGGTTTCTCACAAATGCAACTCCAGTCTCTTTTTAATCTGGTCAATAATAGTAATTATGGTAGTAGTAATCATAATCATCACTGCAGTATCTCTCTAATCATCAAAACAGCTCTATAAGGAAGACATTAGTATCCCTTTTTTACCGGTTGAGAGGGCTAAGTTACCCAGGGTTACAGACTAGGTGGTAGATTCAGGACCTGAAGGCAAGACTGTCTGACTTTCTATTGGGCTGTCCCTCCACAGTAAGCCAGCCTTGTTAAGAAACTTGCTGCCCAGAGCACATTAGAGTTTTGCCAGTGAGCTCTAACCAGTGGCAGTCATTGATTGTATTCTCTGTGTAACTTTCTAAGAGAGAGAACAGACTGACTAAAAAAGAAAAGGAAAAATTATAAGCTGGTGAACTTCAGTATTTATTTGCAAATATAGTCAGTAATCTCTTAAAAAAATTAAATAGATAAATGGAAATGTTGTTCCAAGCCTCCCCTTTCTTCCTCGAAGTACCACTAGCCTGGTTGTCTAATCAGATTCCTGGAATCCCTTTGCCGTTCCTGTACTTACCCATTTTATTTCATAAACAACTGGGTTTTCATGGCAACCTGAAAGGCCCAATTTACCACTTTGTGGACATCTGGATTCAAGGTAAATTGGTCATCTGCCCATGTTTCCCATTCAGGATATGACCTGTAGGAAAACTCAAGGCCATTTACAAGATACCCCCATCACCACTTTCTAATCTGGAACAAAATGTCAGGGAAAAATTGGAAGTGTGTTTGTATCACAGTTTTATTAATCCAGATGCCTGCTTCCTTGGATTCTATGTTCCCTGATCATGGCATGGCTGCTCCTGCCTTACTCAGGAACTTTATATTATGAGCAAATCTAATAAAATATGACCAGAAAAAGAGAGAAATGATCAGAAACAGCAAAGCACAGAACAGCAGATAGTGATCTGAAGTGATAATGGATGGGTTGGAACAGTTTTATCTCTGAGGAAGATAGGTGTGGAATGATGTTGATTTATAATGTACCAGAAAAGTAGCTCAGCCGTACCTGGGTCTGTGATGACTTCACAGCTCTATCTACTACACTTTCTCCAGGTTTGAAGTTCAGGTTGCAAAGCCCAAGTGCCAACAAACAAAGGGGTGTCTTCACTTTCATTCTGGGACATCTATGGAACCTAAGAGCTTGGGTGGGTAGGTGATTTTCCAGGTTGATCATTTGGCCCCCAGGCCTCCTTTGTCCTTGGCATTAAGTTTTATTTGGGAGAGAAGAAAGTGAGGATATAACTGGGAGCCTCTTGGCCTCTAATTGTGTTGCCTCATTAATATCATTGATCCCTCATTCCCAGTGGGTTTTGGAATGTTTCCTAAATACAAACCTATTGCAGTTCACACTAAGATCGCGGTGATCTCTTAAATTTTCATAAGTTTTGAAATATGACAAGAGACCCTGAACCTGGAGTAGGTTCTTTTGGTCTTGGTCACTTTGGGTATCTCTAAATAAAGTACTTGAAAGGAACACTATAGAAAACTACAAGCCCATGGTGCCTGGGCAGGAATAATAATAAAACAAACATAGAAGCATACTTCTAATATACAAGATATTATTCTAAGCGTGTAACATCTATTTACTCACTTTATTCTTTTCTATTGATATTCAAATATGGTTGTCCCACTTTTTCCCCATTATTCTCCCTTGCCCTGCCCACCCACCAACCCTGGCTCCTACAGTCCATCCTCACCCTGTTGTCCATGTCCATGGGTCATTTATATATGTTCCTTGACTAGACCCTTCTCCTTCTTTCCCCCCTTATCCTCCTCCCCTCTCCCCTCTGGTTGCTGTCAGTCTGTTCCTTGTTTCCATGTCTCTGGTTCTATTTTGCTCGTTTGTTTGTTTGTTTTGTTGGTTAGGTTCCACATATAGGTGAGATCATATGGTATTTGTCTTTTGCCCCCTGGCTTATTTCACTGAGCATAATGCTCTCCAGTTCCATCCATGCTGTCACAAAGGGTAGGAGCTCCTTTCTTTCTGCTGCATAGTAATCCATTGTGTAAATGTACCACAGTTTTTTGATCTGCTCATTTACTGATGGGCACTTAGGCTGTCTCCAGCACTTGGCTAAATAGTGCTGCTATGAGCATTGGGGTGCATAAGTTCTTTTGAATTGGTGACTGGGGATTCTTAGGGTATAACCCCAGCAGTGGAATCATTTAATTCTTTCAACAATATTATGAGGTAGGTACTATTGTTATCCTATTTTTGGATGGGGAAATTGAGGCAAAGAGAACTTGAGTTATTTGCTCAAGGTCACTCCACTACTTGGTGGAAGAGCTGGGGTTCAAACCCAGATAGTAGTAGTAGTAATACCCAGGTGATAATAATAACAACAACAGCAGCAGAAGCAGCATTAGTAAACATGTATTAGGTGTTTAATGTGCTGGGCACATTACTAAGTATTTTACCTCTATGCTTTCATTTAACCTTCACAAAAATGGGGAGTGGGAGGAGAGGAGGCACTTTGCTAGTTTACAGATGAGGAAACAGAAGTTTCAGTGGTACTGGATATCTCATCCAAGGCCACACAGTTTTGAGGAGCTGGAATTGGGTTCCAGGCATTTCTGACTCCAAAACTCCACTCAACCACACTATCTTCCTGTGAGTGCAGTCCCAGAACCGATTACACCTATAGGGGAGACAAATCAGAAGACACAGGCAGTACTTCCCTTGAGAAATTTACATAGTTTCATCAATAGTAGGATAGGAATCAGACATACACAGATGAAACAAAGTGAACAACTTCAAATTACACTATAGGCTTCTAAGAGACTGGAGAGTTCAGAAAATAAAAAGATTATTGAAAGAGGAGTTATGGGGGCAGGGGCTATCAGCAGGGAGGGTAGGGGTAAAGCTTGGCTCAGAAGAAAGAATGGGACTAGCCAAAGTGAAAGAAGAGATAAAGATCAGGTAGAACTGCATAAGCAAATCAGGAACACAAGAATGAGTGTTGTGAATGCAGAGGAGAGTGAGGAGCGAATCCTGAAAGGTTCTGAGGGGTGAGATTAGAATGGCAGGGTGGGACCAAACTGAATAATAATAATAATAGCAGCCAGTTTTTACTGAGACTTAGTCTATGCTAGATCCTTTGCATTCATTATATCATTGAATCCTTATTATAATTCAGTGAAGAAGGTACTGCAGTTGTTCCCATTCTTCAGATAAAGTAAACTCCATAAAGAAATTCACCTAAGGTCACACAGCTAGGAAGTTGCAGAGCTATAAGTCAAACATAGCCATTACAGACAACTCTAAAACTCGGACTATTATCCAAAGGGCCTCAAAAGCTAAGCTGAGGTAGTGAAGATCTACCATAATGCCATGAACATTGGAGGTACTTAAATGGATAGAAGGAGAATAAATGAAGAAATAGGCAAATAATTGATGACAATGGTTTTCCAACTTATGTTCTCACAAGCATTCAAGTTCTGTTTATGAAACAGTCTCAGCAAGTATTTATTTATTTATTTAATTTATTAGGTGACATTGGTTAATAAAATTACATAGGTTTCAGGTGTACAGTTATGTAATGCATCATCTGTATATCATATTGTGTGTTCACCACCCCAAGTCAAGTCTCCTTCTGTCACCATTTATCTCCCCTTTACTGTATTCTACCTCCCCAATCACGCCCCACCTCCCTTCCCTCTGATAATCACCATATTGTTTTCTGTGTCTGTGGTGTTCTTTTCTTTCTCTCTCTTTTTCTTTTCTTTCTTTCTTCTTTTTTTTTCTTGCTTAATCCCTTCACTTTTTCACTCAGAGCCCAACCCCTCTCCAATCAGAGAGCTGTCAGTCTGTTCTATGTATGTATGATTCTGTTTCTATTTTTTTGTTAGTTTATTGTGTTCATTATATTACACATATAAGTGAAATCATATGGTATTTGTCTTTTTCTGACTGGCTTATTTCACTTAGCATAATACTTTCTAAGTACATCCATGCTGTTGCAACAGGTAAGATTACCTTCTTTTTTATGGCCAAGTTGTATTCCATTGTGTAAATGTACTACAGTTTTTTTATCCACTCATCTACTGTTGGACACTTGTGCTACTTACAAATCTTGCCTATTGTAAATAATGCAACGATGAACATAGGGGTGCATATATTCAGGTTTCTTTTAATATATTCCCACAAGTGGAATTGCTGGATCAAAAGGCAGTTCCATTTTTAATTTTTTGAGGAAACCATACAGCTTTCCACAGTGGCTTCACTAATCTGCATTCCCACCAACAATGCATGAGGGCTCCCTTTTCTCTGCATCCTGGACAACACTTGTTTGTTGACTTATTGATGGTAGCCATTCTGATGAGTGAGGTGATGTCTCACTGTGGTTTTAATTTGCATTTCTCATGATTAGTGAGGCTGAGCATTTTTTTACATGTCTAGTGGCCATCTGTCTGTCCTTTTTGGAGAAGTATCTATTCAGGTCCTTTGCCCATTTTTAAAGTGAGTTGTTTGTTTTTTTGGTGTTGACTTGTCTCAGGTCTTTATAAATTTTGGATATGAAGCCCATGTCAGATGTATCATTGGCAAATATGTTCTCCCATTCAGTGGGTTGTCTTTTCATTTTATTGATGGCTTCCTTTGCTGTGCAAAAACTTTTTAATATTATGTATCGCCATGTGTTTATTTATTTTGTTTCCCTTGCCTGAGGAGTTATAGCAGAAAAAAATATTGCTACGAAAAAGTCTGAGATTTTCCTGCCTATGTTTTCTTCTAGGATTTTTATGGTTTTTGAGTCTTTCATTTAAGTTTTTATTCCATTTTTAATTTATTCTTGTTTATGGTGTAAGAAGGTGGTCTAGTTTAATTTTTTTCAGCAACTATTTATTAAGTTACATTTGGTATTAACACATGGATACCACTTATCTAATGCCAAGAAGTTTGGTGGTGACAGAGATTCTTCCTGGATTCTAAGAGATGGGAGACAAAGTACCTGTCTTGAAAATTGGAATTGCTTATGACTTGCGGAGGTCTCTTTTGTTTCCAGTGACTAGGGTAGAGCCCACCATCTGTTACTTGGATCCCAAAACAGAGGTTATAAGAACAGATCAATTTCTGTCAGTCCCCATTCTCATCCTTTGCCTCTTCTTTGTTTCTCCTAGATACAACTTATTGAAAGCATTGGCAGAAAACTTTCTGTCCTGCGGGAGGCCCAGAGAGGATTGCTGGAGGATATCAATGCTAATTCTGCCCTTGGGGAGGAGGTGGAGGCTAATCTAAAAGCTGTCTGCAAGTCCAATGAGTTTGAAAAATACCGTTTGTTTATTGGGGACCTGGACAAAGTGGTCAACCTGTTGCTGTCACTCTCTGGACGACTGGCACGAGTAGAAAATGCCCTCAACAGCATTGATTCAGAGGCTGACCAGGAGAAGGTAAAGTTGGAGTCTCTGAGATGTGGATGGAAGGAAATGTCATCTATTTCTTCCCAGGGCTTCCTCTTTCAAGTTTGGCTCATCTGGGAGGCAGTAGATTATAGTATTGAGCATGAGCACTCGCTTTTAAGTGCCTTGAAATTCTGGCTCTACCACTAATTAGCTGTGTGACTCTGGGCAACATACTTAACCTCACTCCATCTCAATCTCTTAAAAATGGGGTGAACACACTACCTACCACATAAGGGTTGAGAATTAAGTTATTAACCATGTTAATGTCTTAAAACAGAGCCCAAAACTGGGTAAACACTGAATCAGTGCTAGCTGGGAGTAGTAGTAGTAATCGTAGCAGCAGCAGCAGTTTCCTCCCGCCTCCTTCCCTGCCCCACCTGATTAGAGGGAGAGGTCTCACTAAGTACTTGAGATTGGGAGGCTGTCAGTTCCACAGCTTGGATACAAATGGTTTTGCATACAACTTTGAAGCCACATATGTAGGCACATATGCATGTGCCTACAGATATGACTACATATATACGCATACCCAGACACCCATGCAGAAACACATACCATTTTGAAAGCATTGTCACCATGATGTTTGTTCACGAGATAGAAGGGGTCTGAGCTGGCTTTGTCAGGGCCTTCCCCCACCCCTATGTCAGTGGTGGTCCACTGATTAAAGACAGAGATGGAAAAAGGTGATTGTATATCCCTCTGTCCAGAATCACTGTTGTGTATATCTTCCCCCTACTACAGCAAAGAAAGGCTAGTGCATGAAGGTAAATTTCAGGGTAGAAAATCCAGGACTGATCAGTTAGCAGAATGGGAAGTTGTTTTGTGGCAGCACGCCTGGTGGAGCACTGGGTTAGGCAGGTGATTGGAATGGCCCTTAATTGGTTTTCTGCTTCCCCAGTTGGTGCTGATAGAGAAGAAGCAGCAGCTTACGGGGCAGTTGGCAGATGCCAAGGAGCTGAAGGAGCATGTGGACCGACGGGAGAAGTTGGTGTTTGGCATGGTCTCCCGCTACCTGCCTCAGGACCAGCTCCAAGATTACCAGCACTTTGTGAAGATGAAATCTGCTCTTATCATTGAACAGCGAGAGCTAGAAGAGAAGATCAAGCTTGGGGAAGAGCAGCTCAAATGTCTCAGGGAAAGCCTACTCCTGGGGCCCAGCAGTTTCTAATTCCACCAGCAGACTGCCCACATCATCCCTGCCCAGCCACAATGGGAAATGCTTTCAATCTTTGTTAGCAGTTTGTTAGCAAATAGGTAGCAGTTAGTTAGCAGTTTGTTCCATATCCTCTACTCTGAATGTCTCTCACTGCCCCTTACCTAGCAGTGCACCCAACCCAACCAGCTAAGAGACTAGGGAGGACCTAGGCTTCTACCCTAGGGTGTAGAAGCAAGAAGTAGAAGCTGTAGTAGAGTGTGATTATACAACCACACTCTCTTTCCCACAGTTTGCACAGCAAGCACTCACCACATACAGAACCAACAAAGTGCCTTCATTCTTCTTTGTACTAGGATATCAGAGACATCATGTGCTCACCACCCACCCACACCATACTTAGCCTCTCAAGGCTCAGAGAGAAACTGCCTATGTGGCTCCACTCTGCCTCAAGGCTCATGGCCCAGCCATTTCCCACAAGATCTGGCTGTCTTGAGGGCATTCACCTACTGGAATTTCAGGGCCTCACTCAAGCTTTTCAGTGGGAAGCAGAGGAGAAATTATACTTAACAGAATGTGAGCAAAGGTTTGGGATCCCCAGATGCCCTTCTGGGAGGAGCTAGGCTTAATTAAATTGGCTCCATCCCTACCTTCCCCAGCATCTACATGATGGGGAAGAGGTCTACTCTCAGCCCTACTTAGTGTGGCCTCCTTTTGTCCTAAGACCTTGGGTCTACCACTTCATCTTGCCTATCCCAAGGGCTTCACACTATGGTCCATGAATAGCTCTGTTAAAGCTGACTTCTGCATACAATTTTCATTATTGGGGGGAAGGGGTTCTTATTGTTATATTTTAAATGGCCTTTTGATTTTATTTATTTTTATGTTTTATTGTTTTTTTCATGTTTTTTTAACTAATAAGGCGAAAAGAGGGGAGTTAGAAGTGAAAAGTTAGCCCAGGAAGAAAACATTTTCTGCAGATCAGCCTGAATTCACCATGGCTAGGTAAGCAGGTGCCAAGGTCTTAACTTATTCACACCATAGCTAACAGGTATCTAAAAAAGAACTTCTCACTTTCTACTCAGAGCTTCCCTACTGTGGCCTGGCTCTATACTTCCACTGAAGTATGGATAACCATGAGCTTAGTGTTCCCAGACAGGTTTCAATTTTCTCTTACTTATTTTTTCTTGAAACCAAAGAAATCTGAAACTAACAAGGGTCCACCTATTTCTCTACAGTCTCAAAGCTAAAGAAAGAGAAGAGGTGAGCTCAGGAGGAGCTCCTCTTATCTAATTGCTTTCTTAACCTGTGGCCTGGCTCAGGGAACCCAAATTCATGATAGCTGAAAGCTCCAGCCAGGGCCTGTCCCCCAGAGCAAACTGTGATCCAGCTAGGATCTGAGGCAGACAAACAACTGATGATGATGCTGTTGCCTAGACCCTTAAACGGGGAGCCAGTTTCTATCCTGGAAAAGCCCTTAGGTTGGTGATGGCAAGAAGGGAATTGTAGCCAAACTCTGCCTGTTATACAACTCAGTTCCCTATTCCTTGCTAACTGAGGCCCATGGTTGGTATTGCACAGCCCTGGCATCTGTTCTAGTTAGTGCCGAGTTCCTCACTGTCCTTGGAGGTTAAGTGTAGCAGCAGGAGTGCCTCATTTAACCGAAAGAATTTGCCAAGGAACTTTGTTGCTGCTACAAATACTGGTTGTTAACTTCCGTTTCCTTCTCATTGTATTTGGAAACAATAGAAGAATCTTGGCCAGCAGGGTATCCTGAGGTAGGGGCAGGGGCTGGGTATGCTCTTAGTACACTGATGCTGTCATAACTAGAGTTAAAATGTCAACCTGCCATCCTCCCCCCAAGTGGATAATTTTACTTTTTTCAGGAAGGCCGATAGCTTGTAAAGGGGTAGGCTTACAAAACCAAGTTAGAGAAAGGTGGGGGAGTGCTTTGAATATAGGCTGTGGCTACCATCTTTAAAAAAAAACAAGCTCTAAGACAAACAATGAGTAAGTTTAGATGTCCTGTAATGAGGGGAGGGGGATGATGTAGTCCATGATTATAAGATGTGTAGAGGGGGAGGGGCTAGAACAGCTTTTTGGAAATATAGGCCCAGGGAAAAGAGTGGTCGCCCACCTGGACATTATGGCCATAGTCTGAATTTTTCTAGTCAGCAGTAGAGTGATCGTACCTTAAGTTTATCACACTAAAAGTACTATTTTTGTCCCTCATCCCACCTCAAATCGTTTTAGAGTTGCAATCAGAACACAAGGATGCTCATTTGCATATGGAGAGACAGTTTCCAAAGATCTTAATAAAATAACCCATAAATTAGACTGAGCACTGAAGTTTGGCAGACAAAGGTGCACTACTAAATGGGCACTGATGCCCAGCACTGCTAACATGGCAGTCCCATTGTGAGTGATAGTGCTGCAAAGCTATCACTTTTACTTGAGATGTATTGTCTCCTCCATTCTCATTTCCTGGGTGTGGCCTTCCACAAAGGCCTGCCAGGGGGTAGCAGTTTGGAAGTCAGGTTAAGGGATTTCCACAAAGATAGTTATTGGTCATGACTTCTGCCCTCTCCCTTCAAATACTCGTATAGGACCCAGTGAGTAATAGGTAAGTACAGTGGTTGATATGTAGAGAGCAAGAGCTACTATAACATGTCCCTTTAACTCCCCACTCCCAGGGGCCTGGGCAATTGAGTCTCCCTGAATCCTACTGGCTTCAGATTCAGCCAGGGTATAGCAGTAAATGCTCAACGGGAATCCAAGAAAAAGAGACAAGACACTGAAAATAAAGTCCTCACCAGGGAGAAACTGGAAGCAGAAGAACAGAGAGAGTAAAAGATGAAAAGCCTACTTCAAGGCCAGTTTTAGGTTCTGTTTTCCATTTAACCTCATGTGCCAAAAAGCTGTCAAGGGACACTAGAGCCACAACCTTAACCCCAGTCTCCCTAAAGGTGATACTCTGCCAGTAGCAGGTTTCAGATGAAGGAAGCTGGGCCACTTCTGGCCACTTCCTCCTGTCTGGAGCTTGGTGACTCCCGCTGTGTTTGCCAAAGGTATTATCTATGCCAATAATGTTTCTGAAACAGCATATTATATTCTTTGAAGATTAGTAGATCTTTAGAGGGGGGTGGGGCCGGGGGAAATTTCTATAGATAAAGAACCAGTTTGTTGTACAACAGTTGGGGGTCATCTATCCCATGTGAAGCTATTATTTTTCTGAGTCTTATTGTTTCTGCATTTCTGTCCTCCACCGCACCCGTCTTGGCTGGCATTGGTATTCCTGCCAGATTGTCATCAAGGGTCATACTTCAATAAAAGGTGCTAAGGACAAAAAAAAATTATCTCACGTGTCTTGACTGAGGTAATGGAAATCCCCTAATATCCTACTGAAAGTTATTGGAAAGGAATTTTATCACCTATCTATAGTTTTTCATAGGTAACCATATGACCAGAGCCTTGTCCACATTCCAAACCCCTTAAACTGGCCCCTCAAGGATAGCATTGATGCTACAACATTCATTGTCCCCAGTAAAATAAATTAGAATTCAGGAGTCAGCAATAGTTGTAACCTCAAATGTAGACCTCAGCAGTACAGAGTCCAGTTCTGAAGTCTATTCTGGTCAGAAATGAGCTACTTTCTAGACCTCCTCCAATCTTGACTTCTGTCTACTAGGATCATCTTCCTTCTACCTTATATTCCAGTCTCACACCTTCACTCTTAGCAACCTGGACAGGAAGGTCTTCATGGACCACCTCTCTAAGATATCCTCAAGGTTTAGACCCAAATGCACTCCAGGCAGCTCCCCTGATCCTGAAAAGCTTAATTTTTTCCCTGATCTATACATCGTTCATATCCCAACTAATCTCCTATTTTAGATAACCAGTTTGGTAGAGTAGAAGGAGCCTAGCTTTGGCATTAGAATGAACTGTGTTAAATCAAATCCCTGTTCTGCCACTTAGTCTATGAACTTGGTTATTTACTCAACTTCTTTTTTTTTAATTAATTTATTTTTTCAAATACATTTGTCTCTGCTTACCCCCCACCACTTTCCCTTGCCCCTACTCAACTTTTTTTTCTTTTTGAAATCTTTTTGATCTTTATTGTATTTTTTTACATTCCCTTTTAATCCCCTTGCACCAACCTTCTTCCCCAGCAATCACCACAGTGTTGTCCATGTCCACGAGTGTCCTTTTTTTTTGCTCAATCCCTCCACCCCAACCCCCCAATACTAGCTGTCATACTGTTCTTCATCTTAACCTCTGAGTTAATTTTTATCTATAAATGGGGACAATTTTATATATATGTGTACACACACACATACACACACACACACACACACATATATCTAGCAGGGTTATTGTGGCTTAACAATAATAAATGGAAGCCACTAGCTGTCTGTGAAAAAATTGTTAGAAAGAAAGAATCCCAGTCTCCACCCAAACCCACTGACAAAAGTCTGCATTTTATTTATTATATTTTATCTTCTTTTTTCAATTGTTCAAATACATTTGTCTCCATTTTCCCACCACCACTTTCTCCTGCCCCACCCACCCCCACTCTCACTCTCAATCCTTTCTCCAAAAATCTGTATTTTAATTAGTAGAGTCCCAGGAGATTCATATCCATATTGAACATTGAGAAACACTTATCACAAACATACTCAGTACACATAACTATATATTTTCTAGTCCTAATTTACTCAATTCATTCCTTCTAAATCCTAGACATATTCTTGCTTTTCTCATACTGCCCACCTAAATGAGTTTAGCAAGTTTTCATGATACAAGGTTGATATACAAAATCACCTGTATTTCTATACATTAGCAATGAACAATCTGAAAAAGTTAAGAAAACAATTCCATTGACATTAACGCCAACTTAATAAAATACTTAGGAATACTTTGAGCAAAATAAGTGCAGGTACACTGAAAACTACAAAACATTGAAAGAACATTTTGAAAGTCTAAATAAGTGTAAAGGTACCCCATGTTTATGGGTGGGAAGAATTTCCAAAAAGAACATTTCTTGAATTCAAAACTTGCTACAAAACTATAGTAATCAAGACATTGTGGTACAAGCACAAGGATAGATACATAAATAAGTGAAATAGTATTGAGAGTACAGAAATAAACCCTCTGGAGGGAGGTGAGGGTGTGGAGAGATCAAGCAAAAACAAAAAAGAACTCATGGATATGGACAACAGTGTGATCATTATGGGGGGGGAGTGGTATAAGGAGGATAAATGGTATCAGAAAAATACTAAAAAAAAAAAGAAGGAAGGAAGGAAGGAAGGAAGGAAAGAAAGAAAAGAAAAGAAAGAAAAGAAAGAAAGAAAAAGAAAGAAAGAAAGAGAAAGAAGGAAAGAAAAAGAAAAAGAGAAAGAAAAAAAGAAAGAAAGGAAAGAAAGAAAGGAAAAGAAAGAAGAAAGAAAAAGGAAAGGAAAGAAAGAGAAAGGAAGGAAGGAAGAGAAAGAAAGAAACCCTTACATTTTTGGTCAGGTAATGTTTGATAAGAGTGCCAAAACAGTAAAATGGAGAACTAATAGTTTTGCCCCAGGCTGGTGTGGCTCAGTGGATTGGGTGCTGGCCTGCGAACCAATGGGTCATCCATTAGATTCCCAGTGCAGGGTACATGGCCTGGGTTACAGGCCAGGTCCCTGGTAGAGGGCATGCAAGATGTTTCTCTCCTTTTTCTCCCTTCCCCTCTCTAAAAATAAATAGCTAAAATAAAATAAAATATAAAACGAGAGAAATAATAGTTTTTCAACAAATAATGTGGGGACAACTGAGGATTCATATGAAAATGAATGAAGTTGGACCCTTTTTTATACCACATGAAAAAAATTAATTTGAAATGGATTATAACCTAAATGTAAATGTAAAATGTAAAAGTTAACATTACAAAACTCTTAGAAGAAAACATAGTAGTAAATCCTCTTGACGTTAGGTTAGGCAGTAATTATTTAGAACTCCAAAAGCACAAGCGACAAAAGAAAATATAAATAAATTGAAGTACATAGAAAATTCAGATCTTTTGTACTGCAAACAATACCATCAAGAAACCCTCTGGTTTCAAGAAAGTAAGAACACAATTCACATAATTGGAAAAATATTTACATATAATATATCTAATATTGGACCTTTATTTAGAACATATAAATATTACAACTCAATAATAAAAATAAATTATTAAAATGGTCAAAGGATTAGAATAAACGTTTCTCCAAATAATATATACAAATGGCCAACAAGCACAGGGAATGATGCTCAACATTAAGGAAATACAAATCAAAACTACAATGAGATACTACCTTATACCCAGTACGATATCTATAATAAAAAAGACAAACAATAACAAGTGTTAAGGATATAGAGAAATTGAAACACTCATACATTGCTGGTGGGAATGTCAAATTATGTGGCCATTTGGAAAAAAATTTGGCAGTTCCTTAAAATGTTAAACATAGTTTTCACATGACCTAGCAATTCCACTCCTAGGCATACATACCTAAGAGAACTAAAACAAGGATTCAAACAAAAACATGTACATAAATGTTAAAAGCAACATCATTCATAATACCCAAAATGTGAAAACAACCTAAATGTTCATCAACTGAGGAATGGATAAGCAAACTTTGTATATCCATACAGTAGGATGTTATTCCACCATAACAAGTACTGATACATGCTACAACATGAATGAATCTGGAAAACACTATGCTAAGTGAAAGAAACCAGTCATAAAAGATTACATATCATATGATTCCATTAATATAAAATGTCAAGAATAGGCAAATCTATAGAGGCAGAAAGTAGGTTAATGGTTGCAAAGGGCTAAAGGGCAGGAAGGAATGAGGAGTAACTGCTAATGGGCATGGGGTTTCTTTCTGGGGTGATGAAAATATTAAAATCAGATTGTCATCATGGTTGCGCAACTCTGAATGTACCATAACCACTGAATTGTACACTTTAATGGGTGAGCTGTGATATATATGAATTATTTTTCAATAAAGATTTTTTAAAAACACCTTTTTCCTGTCCATTAATCATTTTTATTATACAAAATGCCTGAAAATTAATAAATGTTACTGTTTCCACATATATAGCCCTATACCATGTACATGTTTACTTGTAACATTCACATATAATATTTCACATGTGTTATCTTATTAAAGAAAGGTAAAATTCTACCCCTTTTTACAGGTGAAGAAACTGAAGCCCAGAAAATTATATTACCCATCTAGCAGGTGGTAGAGGCAGCATTCCAAAGAAGTTCTAATTTTATTGTTTCCTCTAATGTCTATTTTGCAATGTTCTTGTTCTCCTATTGTTCAGAAAGTATTATTCTCCCTCTTAATGACAAACTCCCAATGATATTGAGTAAGTTTGATTTTTCAAAAAGCTGTCCTTTGAGTGGTAAGAGCCTGGTGGATCATGCACATATGATTGTGGGTGTGTGTGTCCCCCTGGGCAATCTTTGGTGCTCCAGAGAGCCTGGTGCCATTAGCAAAGAGCAACAGGGTATTGGCTGCAGCCCAGGGCTGAGGCTCCAGAAAGTGTTGGAAAGCAGAGTTGTGAGAGCCATACTCACAAGAAAAGAATCTATATAAAGTCATATGACTTTATTTATTTATTTATTTATTTATTTTCAGAGAGTAAGCTACATATTCTTGATTCTTACCTAGTCCCATGAGATTGTGAGCTTCAGGCATTTTTTTTCCATCCCTGTGGCCCTAGCTAACATCTCAGTGCTGAGCATGACAAATATTTGTTATATGAATAACAATATAATCTCTCCCCCATCCCCTAGTCAATGTTTCCTATGAAATCCCAGAGAGGTGCTCATTTCCTCTTCTCTGGGCTCATGTGGAATGGAGGGGTTCCCATGAACCCCAGAGATAGCTCACCATCCCTTTGGGAAGCCAAGCTGGTGAAGACCAGATTTCAACCCACATCTCTCTACCCACAGCTTCTCCCACTGGCCACAGGAAAATCCCCTGATGGCTGTAAGCATAAGCTGACCTCTTTGTAATATCCACACAAATGTTTTCTCCCTCCTTCTCACC